TGTCTCTGAAATATACTCATATTCTTATTTCCTTTACTGTGTTTGGCATATTGGACATAATCTTAAAAAACAATTATCTAAAAAACTTGGTAATCATTATTCTAATTTTCTTAAAGCATTCTATCATGCTCAGAATATATTATACAAAAAGATATTTAAAAGGTACTAGAAGTAAATAATGATTGAATTTTTGGAGTTAACTAAATATCTATTTAGACAACTTGATTACTATAAAACAATTTGGACAAAGGTATTTATTAGTCAAATTTTTATAGCAGAAATAATATTTACTCAATATCTAAGTTAATAAATAGTATAATTAAACAAAGTGTAATTAAAAAAACTTAATTACATGTTCTGTTTAAGTCAATTAAATTATGTGTTGCTGAAAAGCAATTTGCTAGTTAGTTTTCATATAAGACACTAAATATTTGTAAGAGATTTTTTTTAAATATATATAGTATTTTACAAAATATATAATAGCTAAAATTTTATAATTTATATATTAATCAAATAAATATAGCAGTTATATATAATAGTCAAAAAATTAATTTTGATAATCTATTTAACTTGATATTGAATGCAGTAGAGAATGGTCTAATTAAACTCAAATACAATTTTCATTAAATATGCCTTGATAAACTTCTTGAAAGAATTAATTATTTTTTAGTTGCTAAATTTTAAAAAGTTTAGTCAATTGAGAATAAGTTAAATATTGAATAGCATGTAGTTTTACTAAAAAATAAGCTCTATTTATATACTTGTATATTGTTATTTAATAGTGAAGATGTTTGCTAACATTGGTTTTATATTCTTTTACAATCTGAAAAAAAGCTCTTTTATATTTTTTTTATTCAGAAGCATTGATATAAAGATAAAATAATAGATGTATCAATTAATGATAAAACATTTGTTAGAGAAAGTCACAAGAAAGTAATAATTTAACATTAAATATATTAATTCGTGATCCGCATAAGAACCAGTGAAATTAATTAGTAAATTATGGAGATATTTACTATTAAATTTTGCCTTTTTTGGAATCTGGCGTTTCCTCAAGGAAAACTTTTTTCTTTACTAAATAAAAATTTTTCAATTCTAAGTAAAGTTGTAGAGGAGTGTCTTGCGATCAAAATGGCGGTTAAACCGTTAAAATCGGCCTAGTAGATCGCGAGATATAAGTACTTTAGTCTTCATGACTATATGTTTTCTTCTTTATAAATAAAGAAAACATATAGTTGCGAAGACTAAAGTACTTATATCTCGCGATCTACTAGGCCGATTTTAACGTTTTAATTGCCATTTTGATCGCAAGACAATCCTCTACAACTTTACTTAGAGCTTGAAAAAGTTTATTTAATAAAGAAAAATGTTTTTCTTAGAGAAATGCCAAATTCCAAAAAAGACAAAATTTATATAGTAAACATATCTCCACTTTTTACTATGTTTTGTCACTTGTTCTTAGGCAGATTACGAATTAATTTTTAAAAATGGCTATTAGAATAAATTTATCAGGCATGTGATATTACAGTAATTAGAAATACTCATAAATTTTTTAATTTGAATTAAAAAATAATTAATGCTAAAAATGATGATTAGTTAAATATAAAAAAAAGTGGTAGTGCTATTTATGAATGATATAAATTAAGGCATCTAATCAAATAATTGTAGTATTGATCTACTAACAATCTTTCAAGTTTTTGAAAATTCTAACTAATAATCAATATTAATCAAACAAATTAAAAAAAAGATCAAATATTTCTTTCAAACTAGCCATATTTACAAATATTAAAATATGATAGTTAATAATTTAATTTATATGTTAATGATAAATAATGAATAATATAAGGGTTGAAATAGGTGAGAGTGCTAAAAGATAAAAAAACTATGTATTGATGGGTCAAAGTAAGAAATTGTATTATTAGAAGAAAGAAGAAGATAGAAGATTTCTATTACACTTTTGTTTATAAAAAAAAAAAAACTTTAAATACACATTTACTGTGCCCAATTAGCATGGCACCGATATCCAAACTCTATATTGGCTTTAATAATATTTTATTATTTTAATGTTAGTCAATGTTAATAAAATTTATTAAATATGTGTATTTAATATATTATAGGTCGTAAGTAAAATTTTAATTAATTTATAAACAAACTTCATTTTTATTTGATTATAAAAGAAATAAATAATAATTATTTTTTTGGTATATCACCAGCGTGTAAGTATAAAAAACAAGCTAATTTAATAATTAAAAAATAATTTGAGCTTAATCAATGAAAATTCCCTAAAAATAAATTTTCTTTCAATTCATTCTATAACTGCCAGTGTGTAAGTATTATTAGTTTTTGTAATTTTACTTTCATTTCCCGAAGAACTTATCGGAAAGAGAAATAGAAAGTGGAGGCAGATTAGCATTTCTTTCATGATAAGCTAAAGTTTTAACAAGATACCTATTACATAATATAAAGTGGATCGAATAACTGAAAGACACAGAGCAGCAAGATTGGCCCATCAAAAAAGGACGCTATATAATAATGGTGATAAGCGTTCAGCATTTTTAAAAGACTATTACTTCTATGACGTATATCATAAAAGGTAAAATTATATAATTATATTTATTAAAATGTGCCTATTAATGCTAATATATTAAATTGTATCTAGAACACATGATGAAAATATAAAGACAAACCCTCAAAGTACTCCGATCAAAAAAAATCTAAGTATAACATGTTCCATATTTATAATTCAGTTATATAATTGTAAGAAAGTTAATTCTATAATTTCATTCTTTTCTATTAGAAATATGCATTGTTGGCACGGGAATGACTGGTATGTTTTTAATCAATATTAATATATTGCTGCTATATGCATTTAATAAAAATTACTATGTGTGTATCATCAGGCTTGTTCTCGGCCCTTATTTGAAAAAAGCCGGTATCAATGATATCACTATCCTTGAATATCAAGATCATGTTGGTAGACGTGTCTATACTCATTATTTTACTGATAACCCTGATGATGAAAAATGTTTATATGGAGAACTTGGCTCAATAAGAT